ATCACGCCATATCTGACATCCTGCCCCTCCCACCCATCCAATCCCGTTGCGCTGATTGTTGACCCTATCCGCGGACGCGTGTCATAGCGGACCTGTCACCCCCAAAAAGACCCCATCGTGTTATGCGCAATCGGAAAACTCGAGCTGAAAAGGAGGATGAGGACGGAAGACGGCGAGGACGAACTGGAGCAGCGGGAACTTGAGTGAAGGAGCAGGAGGAGCATGAGGACCAGGGAAGGCGAAGGGGAAAAGGTGGGGGGCGACAAAGATGAGGAAGGACTCGGATCCAGAAAAGTGGCCCGCGCTGAGGCGATAGCATCATTCTGAACGACGGGATCACAGCAACGATCTAGAAATGAGTCCCACGGTGCAGCGAAAATACCACATTGAAACACCGAAAGCACTCGGACTGCGACACACACCGCAGGAACAACTACAACTCATGAGCTCCTGCGTGCAAAGAAACCAACCAGACGCGGAGAGGGCGGGACATCTCCCGAACGGACTCGGAAGAGAGAGCTAGAGAGAGAGAGAGAGAGAGAGGAGAGTCGTACTCAGCATGTGCCGTTGTGGAAGGGGGGGGGGGAGAGAGGACGGGGTGGGAGGGTGGGCGCCCCCTCGATGCCAGCGGCCCCCCCGACCTCCCGCCCCAATCGCCCGCCCCAGGTGGACGGGCCGAGCACGCGGCGGCGGTAGGACACAAGGCGCCCGTCCTGCGGGGGCGGCCGTCGTCCAGCGGTCGCTCGCTCGCTCGCTCCCTCGCTCGGTCCGCCGCCGCCGACGTCGTCGTGGGCGGCGGCGGCGTCGGCGGCGGCGTCGGCGTCGGCGGCTTCGTCGGCGTCGTCGTTGTCGAGGGGCGATGGCGACCTCGCCCATGTGAGCAGTTTCTTGTTCTGCGTTTTGGCACTGAGCGAAAGGGGGGAGGGGAAGGGGGGGGGGGTCTGGCTCTGGGCCTCTGCTTTGTGCGACTGTTTATAACAGGACTCCCACGGGGGATGCTATGGAAAATCCTGTGCGGGGGTCCTTTGCGGGAGCCCCACTTGTGAATGCCAGAGGGAAATCTTACGGGGGGATCTTGATTCTAACAAACGAGTTGACACATCCCGCGCTCTTGCAAACATCCCACCCACCCACCCGCAACTTGGTTTGCAAAACCCACGACGACGACGATAACGACGCCGACGGTGACGACAACGACGACACCGACGACGACGACGACGTCAACGACGCCGACGACAACGACGACGACATCGACGACGACGGCGGCGACGACGACGACGCCGACGTCGGCGACGACGAAGACGACGACGCCGACGCCGACGCCGACGACGACGACGACGACGACGTCGCCAACGACGACGACGACGACGGCGACAACGACGACAACGATGACAACGACGAGGGAGGAGGGAGGACGGCGACGACGCGAACGACGAAGAAGGAGGAAGGACGGCGACGCCGACGACGACAACGACGAGGGAGGAGGGAAGACGACGACGACGACAACGACGAGGACGACGACGACGACGACGGCGCGATAGGAGGGACGACGACGAGACGCCGACGACGGACGACGACGACGACGACGACGACGACGACGACGAGGGAGGAGGAGGAAGGACGACCACGGCGACAACGACGAAGGAAACGACCACGACGCCAAAGAGGACGACGACGACGAACACGAGGAAAGACAGAGGACGACGCAGGCGACGACGACGACGACGCGTGAGGAAGGAGGACAGCGACGACGACGACGACGACGACGCAAGAAAGCGCGCGCACGCTTTTGTTGAAAATCCGTGTTGCGAAACCTTTGGTTTTTGTATGTTTTTGGGAGACACGATTTTGAAATCCTTCCGAAACCGATGGTTTTTGAAGGTTTTCGGCATACGCGCGCGACGACGCGCGCGTCTGCACTTCGTCCCATTTCTTGCAGAGGATTCTCGCGACAGCACACGCGCAAGGGTGTTCGACAGATTTCGCCATGCGCGCGCGCGAAGCCCGTTTGGTAGCATTTTGTGAAAATCTTGAAAAACCTGTGGTTGCTTAAGATTTCGCAAGAGCGCGCGCGCACGCTTTTTTAGCAAATCAGTGTTGCGAAACCTTTGGTTTTTGTATGTTTTTGGGAGACACGATTTTGAAATCCTTCCGAAACCGATGGTTTTTGAAGGTTTTCGGCATACGCGCGCGACGACGCGCGCGTCTGCACTTCGTCCCATTTCTTGCAGAGGATTCTCGCGACAGCACACGCGCAAGGGTGTTCGACAGATTTCGCCATGCGCGCGCGAAGCCCGTTTGGTAGCATTTTGTGAAAATCTTGAAAAACCTGTGGGTTGCTTAAGATTTCGCAAGAGCGCGCGCGCACGCTTTTTTAGCAAACCAGCGTTGCGAAACCATGTGTTTTTGTATGTTTCTTGGAAACTCGATTGCGAAATCCTTCTGGCACCGATGGTTTTTGAAGGATTTCGGCATGCGCGCGCGACGACGCGCGCGTGTGCACTTCGTCCCATTTTTTGTTTGTGCAAGGGATTCGTGAACAACTGCTATGTTAGAACAACAAATGTCACCGCATAGTGTTTTTTACAAAGGGAACCTCAGGGGGGGATACCGGCTGGCATTTGACATTGTGATTTCATATTTAGGATGAACATGTGGTCATAATCAGATACGATTTACATATCCGAAAGGGGGAGTGATAACGCCGGGGGGGGGGGTAGATCCTATTCTGTTTTTAGATAAGAGAATTGAATGGGAATTTCGCTGTTTTCCATTACAAATCCTATGGGGATCTCCTACGGGAGAAACTTCTGGGGGGATCCTACAGGGGAGCCCGAATCCAATTGGAATTCGGTTGGACTCCGTGCGGAACCTTCAGGGCTTGAATCTCCAGAGGACTCAACAACAACTGGCTGCCCACTTTCTTAACTCCATGACCCCGACGAACACAGGGTGGGGGTAATTAAGTTCGGGGTTCTGGCGGGATGGTGCACTCTGCCCGGCAGGACGCAACAGAAAGGAGGAGCAGGAGGAGGAGCAGGAGAAGGAGGAGGAGGAGGAGGAGGAGGAGGAGGAGGAGGAGGAGCCAGGCGCAACATACAGTAAAAGGAGGAGGGCGACAGGGTCGCTCCGAACCACACAGTGCACAGTTGCGCGAACAAGCGATTGTCGTGGCTCCCGGGGGGGGGGAGCGGCGGGACACCTGCGCCCAAAACAGCAGCGCTCCACGGGGGGGGGGTCGAGGGACCGCGCCGATCGGCAGAACAATGAAAAAGAACACGATCACCATCCATGCAACGATCCTCCTTTTGCCGACGCCACCCTCCTCCTCCTCCTCCTCCTCCTCCTCCTCCTCCTCCTCCGTCTCATCCTTTCTGATCCGTGCATCCTCCCTCCTTCTCCTCCTCGCTCCCGCTGCCTTCTTGCCCCTCTTGACCCTCCGAGTGTCGGGTTGTTGCAACAGTCGCGGCCAGTCAAAAGCCTCCACTCCCACCTCCTCCACCTCCTTCATCTCGTCTGCTCCGTGCTCCGCCCTCCCCCTCACCCTCTCCCCCTCGAAAATCTTGCCCCCCACTCCAGTCGTCGTCGTCGTCGTCGTCGTTGTCGCTCGTTGTCAATCTTTCGGGGTTCGTCGGTCGAGGTGTTTGGGCCGTTCTGGGCCACCTTGGGCCTTGGGCTCCCCTTGTCGTCGTCCCCTTGTCGTCGTCGTCGTCGTCGGCGTTTCCGTCGTCGTCTCCTTCTCGCTCGCTGCCAAGGCTCCCCTTGTCGTCGTCGTCGTCGCCGAACGCGACTAAGACGTCGTTCGTCGTTCCTCCTCCTCCTCCTCCTCCTCCTCCTCCTCTTTCTCCTCCTCCTCCTCCTCCTCCTCATTATCCTCCTCCTCCCGCTCGCTCTTCCCTCCTCCATCCTCCTCCGTCAACTCCCTCCTCCTCCCCCTCGTTGTTGTCGTTTTCGTCGCCCTCCTCTTCCTCCCTCCCGTTCACCTCCATGCTCCTCCCTGCTCCTTCCCCTCGTCGCCGCCGTGCTTCGTCGGACGTCACCGTCCGTCCGTCCAGCGTCGTCGATCGTTCGAGGTGCCAGGGCCGACATGTTGTTGTGCCGTCGTTCGCTTGTTTGGCCGCCGCAGCCGTCGACGAGCGCTGGACGGCCTCGACGCGCGTCGGCGGCGGCGTCGACGCCGACGACGTCGCCGCTTCTGCGGGCGACGGGCATGCTCTCAGCGAGGCGGCCGCCCTTGCAGGCGGATGTCGTCGCCGTCGGTCGCCGTGCGAAGCTCCCTGGTCGCTGGTCCGGTGCTCGCTCGTCGCTCGTGCCAGAGGTCCTGGCGTAACAATTGCTTCGCAACGGGCGACCATGCCGTGCTTCGAGCCACGCGGGCCGATCTGGCCCGGAACATGGCGCAGGGAGGTGGGCTCTGGGGCTCCGATCGAGCTGTTTTTACCGCGCTGCATTGTTCCTTGACGCTGGATCTCGGGGGCCATTGGCCTCCGAGGTTGGCCGTTTGGCGTTCGTCGCGCCTCATTCGTGGCACTTGTCGCCGGTCGTCGTCGTCGCCGTCGTCGTCCGCAGCCGTCGCCGCCGTCCTGGGGATCATTCGTTTTAGTCCCCGTCGCGGTTGGGCTCGGAGGGGGGAAGGATGCGGAAGTGGAGGAGAGGCATCGAGATGGTGGGGCGGATGACGAGGCCGGGGGGGATGGGAGTGGGGGCGGGGAGGAAGAAGGGCAGGAGGGCAGAGGTGGGATGACAGGAGGAGGACAGGAGGAGGATGAGATGAGGAGGGAGTTGAGGAGGGATGACAGGAGGAGGAGGAGGATGAGGAGGAGGAATACATGCAGGCGGGGAGGCGGGCGGAGGGACGCAGGGAAGGGGAAGTGGAGGGCGCGTGGGGAGGGGGACATTGGTGAGGAGAGAGGGCGGAGCGAGAGTAAGGATGACGAGGACACGCAGAGAAACGACGACCGTCGAGGGAAGGAGGAGGAGGAAGAGGGGAGGAGGGCGGGGAGAGTGAGGGCGAGGGGGACGATTGGGGAGGACGAGGCCGACGACGACGAGGAGAAGGAACGGACGAGGATGAGGGCCCCGTGTCCCCCTGCGTTCTCCTCCCTGCGTTTGCGGTTGTCCCCCAGCCATGTTTGTCCGTATTTGCCCCTTCTCCTCCACCTCCTTGTCAACCTCACGTCCCCAGAATTACCTCTGCCCATAGCTGACGTAGCTGCTTCATCTGTCCAACTTCATGCCTGTAGCTCCCATGGTTGCTTCCTCCTCCTGTTCCACCTTGTGTCCGCATCCCTCTGCTCTCCCCCTCGTCATCACTTGTCTCACCTCCCTCCTCCCAATATATGCTTCAGCTAGCTGCTCCTCCCCGTTTTACCCCGCCCTCCTCCCCCCCCTTTTATGCCCCCCCCTTCCCGCCCTCAACAATTACACGTTCTGAATACAACTCCCCTCTCTGCCTTCCACGGATCCTCCTACTCCTCCCGCTCCTTCCACTCCAGTTCCTGCTGCTGCTGCTGCTGCTGCTGTCTGCTCGTCATCGTCGTCCTCCTTCAGCATCCTCCTTCTCCTCCTGCTCATCCTCCCGCTCGCCCGCCACCGTGTCCTTCTATGTGTGCAGCTCCCCCTTCTCCGACTGCGCATGACACGATGGGGTCTTGCTGGAGTCCCAGGTCGGCTTTGGCACGCGCCAGCGGCTGGGGAAACCATCGGCGCAATCGGAATATATATATATATATATATGTGAGGGAGGGATGGGATGTAAGCTGTGGCGCGTGCGCGCCCCGCTTGTCTCCTCCCCCTCTCCCTCCCCCCCCCCATCTTCCGCCCCCCTCCCCCCCTCATGCTTCTCCACTGGCCTCGCCTCCTCCTCCCCCTCCTCCCCCTCCCCCCCGCTCCCCCCTCCGCCGCCTGCTGAGGCCGCCTGCCCCGCCGCAGCCGCCCTCGACTCCGACCGACGTCGATCGTATCAACAACTCGACCAGAGGCCTACGGGAGGAGGAGGAGGAGGAGGAGGAGGAGGAGGAGGAGGAGGAGGAGGAGGAGGAGGAGTTGAATGAGGAGGAGATGATGAGGAGGTGAGGAGGAGGAGGAGGAGGAGGAGGAGGAGGAGGAGGAGGAGGAGGAGGATGTGTAGTAGTAGTAGTAAACCCTGCGCGCTTCTCCAGCCGGATCGATCCGTCTCGACAAATGTTGACGCGCGCGGCTTTCAGGGACGGCCCGCCCCAAATGTCTTCGGGTTCGAGCTCGGCTCGGGGACGAGCTGGGCACCTCCAGAGTGCCCTCGGCAGGGCGCGGCCGCTGGAAAAGGTATCCCGAGCCTGGAAGGCCGCCGAGAACCGACGAAACCGTCCGAAACACCTCGAACATCGAGACCTTCGAGCAGGAGAGAAAAACTGCAGAATCGATTCGCCCCAGAACTGATGGGGCCCGTCGAGTCTGAAAAGCATGTGGCAGGTGTTTGTGTGGATTTGCAAAAAGGGCTCTGCGCGTGCGCTGCGGATTCGATCGAGATTCCAATGTGATAATACATCTTACCAGCCTGGAACATATCCCTACCCCTATGTTGGGCATCGCCTCATCACGATGGCCATCCCTATGTTGGGCATCGCCTCATCACGATGGCGATCTTAGGGATTTTCTCAGTTTCTGAGGGTGTATCCCTAAGATTGTCCTTGCTTTTTGCTCGCCCATCTTAGGGATAGGGATAAGTTCGAGGCTGGTGAACATCAGCTCTCTAGTCGGCCTTCTGGGGGGGCCTGGGATCGCCGTCTCCCGCCGCCGCCCGCCACGGGCGCGGCCGCGACGGGAGCGGCTGGCGCGCAGCGGGCTGGCCCTCGCTGGAGGGCGGGAGGGGAGAGGGAGGAAGTCGAGGGGGGAAGGAAATCGAGGAGGGAGGAAGTCGAGGAGGAGGAGAGGAGAGGAGGGGGAGGAGGTCGAGGAGGGATGACAGGGAGGATGCGGGCGCCGACTCGGCGGCGTCCGCAGGCCAACGACCGCTGGCAGGCTACAGGAAGGGAAACTTTGGGCAGAAGGCGCCTGCCCTCGGACAAGTACCGGCACGCCGCCGGGGAAACAAGGGGGCCGTCCAGGATCGCACCCGACGTGAAGCGGAGGACGAGGAGGACGAGAAGGAGAGGACGAGGAGGAGGACGAGGAGGAGGAGGAGGATCTTGGGGAACGAAAGAGGGGATAGCAAAGGGTAGGGTCGAGAATCAGCTTACGTGGCTGATTCTCCCAGCGCCTCCCGGCGCAGGGAGGCGCCCATGTATCGAGGGAACGACCTGGCGGCGGGGCCAAAACCAGCTGCATGGAGCAGATTTCGTAACCCCCCCTTTCCCTATCCCGCCCTGTCGTTCGGCCCGGAGGAGGAGGAGGAGGACGAGGAAAAGGACGAGGAGGAGGACGCGGAGGAGGACGAGAATGAGGAGTAGGAGGAGGAGGAGGAGGAGGGAGGAGGAGGAGGAGGAGGAGGAGGGGGGAGGAGGAGGAGGAGGAGGAGGAGTAGGAGGAGGAGAAGGAGGAGGAGGAGGACGAGGAGGAGGAGGAGGAAGACGAGGAAGAAGAGGACGAAGCGAAGACGAGGAGGGTACGCGGAAATGGGGATGGGCAGCGGGAGAGCTCCTGCGCAGCGCCGCCGGGCCCCCGCCCGTCCGCGCCAACCCGCGGGCCACCGCACGGCGTAGCTGCGATGCGTGCGGGGAAGACCGGAGGCAGAGCCCGGGAGGAGGGGGAAGCGGCAGGGAGGAGGAGGACGAGGACGAGGAGCAGGAGGAGGAGGAGGAGGAGGAGGAGGAGGAGGAGCAGGAGGGGAGGAGGAGGCGGAGCAGGAGAAGGAGGAGGAGGAGGGGGAGGCAGGGAGGAGGAGGTCAGAGGAGGAGGCGGAGGGCGAGGCGGAGGCGGGGGCCGAGCGCAGCGGGCAGGTCCTCGCCGCCCGCGCACACCGTGCAGGCCTCCGCCCGCGGCGCGTCGGCCTGCAGGCTGCGGCTCCGGCTGCCGATCGCGTCGCCGCCGCCGCCGAAGCTGCCCGTCGCCGCCGCCGTCGTCGTCGTCGCCGTCGTCGCCGACGCTGCCCGCCGCCGTCGCCAGCGAACGGACGTCGCCGCAGTCGTCCCCGTCGTCCGTCGGCATCGTCGTCGTCGTCGTCGTCGTCGTCGTCGTCGTCGTCGTCGTCGTCGTCTGCGTCGTCGTCGAGGGTTCGAGGTCCCGGGGTCGAGAGTGTCGGGGCTCTCTGGGGTTCCTCGGGCGCCCTCGCCAACAGATCTGGATATGCCTCGGGTGCCTGGCCAGAACGCAGCCTAGCAGAGGTTCGAGAGGTCGCCGTCGTCGTCGTCGTCGTCGTCGTCGTCGTCGTCGTCAACGTCGTCGTCGTCGTCGTCGTCGTCAACGTCGTCGTCGTCGTCGTCGTCGTCGTCAACGTCGTCGTCGTCGTCGTCGTCATCGTCGCCGCCCTCTTCCTCGCTACTGAAGCATCAACACAGACGTCGTCGCCGTTACCAGCGACGTCCTCGTCGCCGACGCCGTAGTCGTCGACGCGTTGACAATCAAAGCAGGGTCTCTCGCCTGGGCCTGAAGCTGCCAAAAGATAAACAGAGTCGGGACTTCTGGGGCCCGTATTGAAAAAAAAAATACGTCAGACCTTGGGGGCTGACGTTCCAAACCCCCCTTTGCGTCGATCGGGCGAATATGAAGCCGTTTGGCCGTTTCCAGCCTGGTCGTGCTCGAAGTCGTTGGTCGTCGTCGTCGCCGCTGCCGCCGCCGCCGCGGCCGTCTCTGCCGGCCTCGCAACGGCCCCATCCTTGAACCAACCCCCAACGACCGTCGCCGCCTGGATGTCATGCCACAGCTCGTGTTTCTGGCGGCCGCCCGGGGCGACCCGGGCACCCCCAGACGCCTCTCCGAGGGGGCGCTGCTGCTGCTGGAGAGCACCCTGCGGCCAGAAAGCCGCAGAGAGCCGACGAGCACGTGTCCGGAAGCCTCGAACATCTACAGCATGGGCCCGACCACAAGAAACCTTCCACAAAAACCCAACCCTGACACCCCAGGACGTCCATCGCCTTTGGCGTGGGAGCATCGCGCTCTCCACATCGCAAATCGAAGTCCAAGAAACCCAGGTCAACCTGGAGGCGACCACGATGTTTCCTCGCATGGGTATCCACTGTAACCTTTCCTTCGCCATCGTCACGGCCTCTTGCGACACCCGAAATGGGCACCGAAAGAATGGGTACAATGCCCAACAACAAATGCTGTCCCAAACCAACAGCGGCCGCTGTTGGGCAGGCGGCCTTCTGTCCATTTGAGGCCGCGGCGGCGCGGACAGCGAGTCCTGTTCAAGATGAACAGGAACTGCTGTTGGGCATTGTACCCATTCTTTCCGTTCCCATTTTGGGCGTCCAGACCCTCCGCCGTGGCCGTCGCCGCCGGCCTCTGGCATCAGGGCCACGCCCAGGACGGAACCGGCCCCGTGCTCGTAGGTCGCGGGCTCTCCGCCGCCTCCGCCGGGTTCCAGCGCCTCTCCCGCGAGGGGGGTGAGGAGGAGGAGGAGGAGGAGGAGGAGGAGGAGGAGGAGGAGGAGGAGGAATTATAGGGCAAAATCTCAATGACCGATCAATGGATTCGAGGTGGGGCAGGAGGAGAAGCAGCAGGGCGGGGAGGGGGGGCGGACGCGGGGCGGCGCCTGGTGACGGCCCTCTCGGCTGCGGAGGCGTCGAACGCCCCGCGGCGCGCCGCGGCCGCGGCGCTCTCCCCCCGCTCTCTCCGCTCCCCCCTCTCTCCGCTCCTGGCGCTCCCTGCCCAAGACGCAGCTCCCAAGAAAGGCCCTTGCCTATGCGCGATAGATTATGGCCTCCAGTTCCGTTGAGCTTCTAGCTGCATTCCGAAGCCAACTCCCGCATATGGCTCGTGCTATAGCAACGGCGCGCGGTACAGAACAGCACATCCTTGCCAGGCCAAAGACAAATTTGGTGGGATCCGTGGACCTCTCACGAGCAGACACACACGGCCCCCGCGGGCCGAAACACGCCCCCGTCCAGGACATCGGGCGGCAGGGGATCCCAAGAAAGACCGTGAGATCGCTGGACTTCGCACGGCACCCACACTTACGGCGCTGACCGAAAATCCCCTGCGATCTGCGGGCAGCTGTGCTCTGAATTAACAGCTGCAGCTCTGAGCACTTAGCTCTGGTGTTACGAAAGCGGCCTTCGGGCGGACGTGGGGGCCTCTTGCCCTCCTTCTCCAACGCATCATTCATAACACTGGGGAGGTGGTTGTGAACCCTACGCGTGATCACATCGGCCATCTTAACCGCCGCGTTTACAGCATAGCGAACCCTCACATCCTTCCCCAAAGCTCCAGCAATCTGATCCGTGATAGCGTTAGCCACAATGAAGCTAGGACGGAAGTCCCTGTCGAGAGCCTCATTGGTCTTAAGGTGGATCGGCACACGAACGAAGAGCAAGCCCCTAACGCGCGACCACAAATCACGGTGGCTCGAAACGTGGGCATACGTGCCAGCCGCAATGCGAGAGACCGCTCGGGCGACATAAGCCGAATCGGCCACGTAGCCAACCTGGGCCCCCTCAGGGCTCTGCTCCAAAAACTTCAAAAGGGCCCGGAGTCCCCCACCGTTCACGCTTTGCTTACCCGCAATGCCCCCTCCAGCGACAAGGGCAGGACTGGGCGCGGCAACCGAGCTGGGGACCTTCAAAACCGCGATGCTCCAAGACACCCGCTTTAGCCTACGATTCCTCGAGAACCTCCCTCCACGGGCGCCCCCCGCGCCCCAGATGCGACGCCCCTGCGCCGGGGGAAAAGGATTGACGCAGCGAAGAGGCGAGTCGGGAGCAGGAGGAACTCGGGCCCAAGACTTGGGCATTAGGCCGCGGAGCCAGAAAACAGGACACTCGTTGGCAGCTGCGACGCGTGGTCGACCGAAAGCCTCCGAGATCTCCTGGAACTCCGAGTTACAAGGGTACTCCCAGAAGCTGAGCATCAGTCTCCACCGAAACTCCACATCTCGGGCAAGGATCATCACAGTCTCCTTCCGCAAGCCAGCCAGGTGCCGACGGGCGACCGCGAAATCAACGCCGTCCTCAGCACCGAGACCATCGCGAAACTTGGAGGCTCCAGCCCAGAGATGGGCTTCGATCGAAATCGACACTTCCTGTTTGAATCCGGAGGTCATATAAGCCACGGGTCGACGCTCGTCGGGGATAGCGCGCGCGTGCCCCGTCGGCGCCGCCAAGCTCCATGGCCCCTCCAACGACCGCCCCGGTCCTAGCATCGTGGCGACGACAGCCGAAATAGGCCTCCGAATGTTGCGCCGCCGACGCTCGGGCCCCAGGCCCTGAATTCGCTGGGCAGTTTCTCTCCAGCCGCGGTGCGTTATGGGAAGAGCCTGGTCCGAAACCCTGGGCGCGATTTAGATTTCGAGGCCCAACAAGCTGGTTCTACTGCTCCCCAGGGCCGTGGGTCTGTTATCTCCAGAGGCTCCACACAGGGGAAGTAGATTTCGAGGCTCCAGCAATTGTTGTTGCTGCTCCCCAAAGCCCCTGGGGCCGACTGCTATATCCAGAAGATCCAAGCCGCGAGCGTCGAGTTTGCCGATGCCCGAAAACTTGTTTCAGCTGCTCCCCAGATCCCTGAGGGCCGCTTGCTATCCCCAGGGGCCCCAGACGGCAAACATCGATTTACCGAGGCGCAGAAGTTGTTGCTGCTGCCAACTCCAGGAGCCCTAGACAGCGAATCTCAACTTGTTCGAGGCTCGAAACAATTGTTGGTGCAGCCAAGGGCCCCAGAGGCCGACTGCTATCTCCAGACGCCGCAGGCGGCGAACATCAAATTTCCAGGCTTGCAAATCTGTTTCTGCTGCTCCCCAGGCCCATGGAGCCGACTGCTATCTCCAGAGATCCCAAACGGCGAAAACCTGTGTTTTAAGGTTTGAACATTTGTTGCTGCTGCTCCCCAACGCCGTCGGAAATGCCTTCGAGCTCCTTGAAACTGAAAACATTATCGATGCGTGGAAAATTCGTTCTGCCGCTGAGCTCCTGGATGCAAGAGCGTATTTCAGCCCAGAAACATATTTTTAGCTGCCCCAAGTTGGGCCCTTGCGCCGATCGAATTTGATTGACCCCTGCATTTTTGCCTCGGTCGCAATTGCCACTTGGACCCGTCCGAGTATTCCCAATACAACCTCGGATGTTCTGCAAGCAATCTTGGTCGCCCTGCCCCTTATTTCGAGAAACGAAACGCCCAAAACGAAATGTCCGAAATGAAATGGCCGAAACGAAATGTCCGAAACGCAATGCGAATCGGCTGAAACGGAAAACGAATCCGACCGAAACTGGAAACGGCGGGAACGGGAACCGCCCGAAATGAAAAACGGGCAAAACGGAAAACGTCGGAAACTAAACGATTCCTTGATGATCTCCTGTTGGTTCGACGGCTCTAGCAGGTGTTGGGGCATCTTGGATTCCAAGAATTTGTCTGGCTGATTGGGTGCACCTCAATATGTATCCAAATTCCTAGGCCTGGGCGCCATCCATCGGACTTGTACGCGAAAAGAAGCTACGCCGGCAACGCCTCCCGCTTATCTCCGTGGGTTTCGGATCCCCAAGATATCAACGGTCGGCGCTTGTTCTAACGCTTGCTCCAACGTTGCATGTGGCCACAGGAAGCGGCAAAACCCTGGTAGTAATGTGATTGTGCACGGGCTGAGATACGGTCCTTTCTCCTGCCGTTCATCATTGGTGCCTCGGTCTTCTTGACTTCGGCTTCGGCCTTCTGTTCGGGGCGCTGCGCGCCCGTGTCCGTCATGGGAGTCTTCGCGCGGGAGGCGTTCTGAGGCCGCGCAGCCGCCGGCCGCATCACGAGTTGCTCTTGGGAGCAGGGGTGCTCGCCAGGAGGAGTACGGTGGAGGAGGAGGAGGAGGAGGACGAGGAGGAGGAGGAGGGGGAGGAGAGGAAGAGGAGGAGGAGGAGGAGGAGGAGGCGGAGGAGGGGGGGAAAGAGGGGGAGGAGGGGGGAGAAGAGCTAGAGCTCTGTCTTTGATACCAACGACCAATGAGGGGCAACAAATGAACGGCTCAACTGAGATCCCCTGTTTCTTGTGGTGGCGATTTTTGCCGGGCAGTCGCCAGTTCGCTTTTTCGAGGCAAGGGGGAGGAGGGACATGCAACCGAACAGATGATCAGTTTACCACTTCTGCTGAAATATGGGCCAGCTTCACGGATCTTTTTTGGACGAACATGGGACAATTGTGTCTGTCAACGCTGGAGGGGAGAACGTGCGCAAGAACCTGGGCGAGCTTTCTGGCAAGGTGGCTAAGCAACGCTGGCTGGCCCAGCTTTTCGGGAGGAGGAACCTTACATAAGAGTTGCTACAGGGATCCTTCCTCCAGGAATCCTTACCGAGGAGTCCTTGCCGATAAATCCTGGGTAAGAGCCCTGACTAGAGGATGCCTCGCTGACAGAATGGATGCTCAAAGGGATGCTGGGAGTCCTGAGTGCATCTCTGGAAAAGGCATGCGCATTACAGGCATATGTCGCATGGGATCGGGCGGAGCAGTCCCCACCAATGAATGATGCGGAGTGGATATGGAAGGACAACCTACTGAAGCATAATCAAGAAATCTTCGGCCAGGAGATGCGTACTGAATGACCCCTCCCTGAAAGTAAGCCTTACCAAGGGATTCCTGGCCAAATGCATCCTTGTGCAAGGGATCCGTTCCTAGTGGAGCCTTACTGTATGGAGCATTTCTATACAAATAACCCTTACTAAGGAGTCCGTGTTGGGGGAATTCTCACTCAAAAGGGCTCGTACTAAGGAAATCGTATTGCCCTCTCGCGAAGGACAACAAGTAATTCTCCAAAGCGGGCCAGGAGGTGACGAGGATCATACAGAGGAGTAGAAGTAGGAGGAGGCGGAGGAGGACGAGGAATGGGAGTAAGAGGAGGAGGCGGAGGAGGAGGAGGCAACTGATGACCAGAAAGGGAGGAGCACCGAGCAGGGAGGAAGACCACAAGCCCGCCATACGCATCCAGCCAGGCGCCCGCAAATCGTGGCCAGCGGCATGCGCGCAGCCCAGGGGGGCTGGGGGCAGGGGCGCATTGAAATAAGAGGAGGCGCCATACAGTCCTAGGCCCCCGCCAAGATATCCACCCATCCCCGTCATCATCCTCCTCCTCCTCCTTCCTCGTCTGCCTCCCTCCTCCTCCTCCTCCTCCTCCTTCTCCTCCTCCTCCTCCTCAAGCAGCATAACTAGCCATCCCCGGATCAACCCCAACCATGCTCCTGATAGGAAGGGTCGAGGTGGGTAAAAAATGCTGCAACTCGCTGCGCCGGGGCCAGCTTCTCATCCTGGATCGTGCCTGGACGGCCCGGGGGCCCGAGGCCGACCACACATGGCGGAGACTGCCCCGCGGGGCTGTCCTCAGCGCGTTGGAGGCCCGAGCCCCCAGCGGGCCGCAACAACCGACCCCCGGATCTCGGGGGCGTCCGAGAGGGGCGGGTCCGAGAGGGTCCCAACCCAACCCGAAGGCCTCGATTTGCCTTCGATTTCCAGTGGGGGCGGGTCGGGGAACGGAGAAAGCACATGGAGCCTGTGCCCCCCCAGCCCGAAGTTCGCGTCTTCGGGTTGAGTTGGGGTGGTCTGGTAGGTAGTCAGCGACAAGGGCGGGGGCGTCCGAGAGGGGGGGCACAAATCATGGCCCGCGCGGCATGTGCGCGGAAGCGAGGAATGGAACTATTGAAATAAGGCGAGGCGCCAGGAGGTCTCGGAGGCCTGCTGGCCCGGGGCAACCCACTGACCCGGGTCAGTCAGGCCTTGCAGGATCCTGCAGTCTCCTGCACCCAAGCCCGGGTCCGTGCGGCCCTGGCTGTGCAGGATCCTGCAAGATCTGGCGCTCTGGCGGACCCCCGTTTGCATTGACCCCCGTATCTTAGGCCCCGAAGGGGGGGACAGGGCACGCACTGAAATAAGAAGAGGTCTCAAAGGGGTGGCCAGGGCACGCATTGAAATAAGAAGAGGTCCCATGAGATCTGGGGTCAGGTCGGGCATGTCCCCCTACAGGCGGAATTTGGGCGAACAATTGAAAACATAGGCCAAACATACACCAACATAATCAGCAAATAGTCAAAACATCGTCCCAGACAATTTTCTTTTACTATTTTCGAATACTCCTCATGTAGAAAGACAAGCCCGAGTTCAATCTGGGGCAATATCATGGCTGGAGGGGCCACAATTTCCCCCCCCCCCCAAGGACACTCGCCCCCCCTTGGCGGCCCCCGCAGGTCCCCTCTCCTGGGGCGCGCTCTGACAGGAAACCTTCCTAGCGAAGCCAGCCGCGGCGACGAGGAAGCCCCCTCCCCGGGGGCCCAGAAAGCCTTGATCATCCAAACTCGAAGCTCAAGACCCGAACTTCGGTCGTCGTCGTCGTCGTCGTCGTCGTCTTCATCGATGTCGTCGTCGTCGTCGTCGTCGTCGTCGTCGTCGTCGTCGTCGTCGTCGTCGTCGTCATCGTCGCCGTCGCCGTAATTAGCCGTCGCCGTGGCCGCCGCCGCCGCCGCCGCCGCCGCCGCCGTCGCCGTCGCCGTCGCCGTCGCCGTCGCCGTCGCCGTCGTCGTCGTCGTCGTCGTCGTCGTCGTCGTCCTCGCCGTCGAGGCCGCAGCCGCGGCGGCGGCCACCGCGGCGGGGCCTTGACCGAGAGGCTGCCGTTGGCGGCGCCGCTGGCGCAGAAGCGCTCCCGCGCGTCGACGGCCACGGCCCGCACGGGCGAGCTGCCCGAGAGCAGCAGGGAGGCCGGGCTGCCTGCTGGCGGCGCGCAGGAGGGAGCTAAGGGGGAGGGGGGAAGGCTTCTTAGAAGCCCTCGGCCTTCTTCTAAGAAGCACCCTGCTCTAGAAGCACCCTTCTAGAAGGCTTCTAAGAAGCACCCTGCTTCTTAGAAGGCCTCGGCCTTAGGTCTATAGAGGAGGCCCGCGCAGAAGGGGGTACTGGCCATCGCTCGGACGTCCGTGCCCTGGGCTTTTTTCGGTCTCGTGCGCGGTTTTTCCGCCGAATGATCGAGGACGCTCCTCGAGGGTCCTCGCCGAAGGACAAATGCACGCGTGCGAGCGATGCCGAGGGTAGGGGGAGGGGGGAAGGCTTCTAAGAAGCACCCTGCTTCTTAGAAGGCCTCGGCCTTAGGTCTATAGAGGAGGCCCGCGCCTTCTAGGAAGCAGGGGTGCTTCTGAGAAGCCTTCCCCCCTCCCCCTACCCCCCTCTGCGCGTTGCCGAGCCTGTGCGGCGAGGTCTTCCCCGATCTCTGGGACACAGAAGGGCATACTGGTACATACAGGGCAGTGTTTTAGACATTGGATTTTTAAGGTATTTAAATTTCAATACCTGATTAATGTATGAATAAATGTATGCATGCACTCCTCGTTGCTTTTAGTACTAAACACCTGCATGTTTAATACATGATCCGCACGCGGAGCATGTGTAAAAAAACGGCACTGTAACATCTTGCGCTAAGAACATGGGTTTCGCTCCAAGCGCTGTCTTAGACAGCAGTCCAGGCCCGAATGCACGAGCGTTCCCCGGACAAAAACGAAGCTCCCAGAAAACGCCCAGGGTCCAGTTCAGATTCTTGATTTTCTGAAGCGAAATCTGGAGTCCACGAAAATTGACGGTTTTCTTAAGGTTTCTGCTGGGTGCACTATTCTGGGGCCCCCCGGCGGCGCCTCTGGCGCCGCCCCTGGCGCGCTCCGCGCGCCAGGGAGGGGGATCCAGCGCCGATCCGAGAAATCCGCGCAGACCTCCGAGTTTTTATGTTTATGTCACTGTTTGTTCCCTTAGAAAGCGACCGCCACCTGGCATGTTCTGTGAGATATCCCTGCGCGCGCGCGTCGCCTTCGAGGGGCCGACGCGCACGTAGCACTAGGTCGGGCCCGTCCCCATATAGTTAAGTCGGGCCTGTCCTCCTACAGTGGGATTTTTGACGAAAAATTAAAAGTACACCAAAAATAATCCCAAAATAGTATGGGGACTATTTTTAAAATATTGTTAGGCCTTGTTGGGACATTTTGGGGGTATTTGTATTTTTTCGTCGAAAATCCCCCTGTAGGGGGACAGGCCCGACCTAACCCTACAGGGGGGTTTTGGACGAATAATAAAAAATGGCCACACCAAATTCAAAAGGAGCCCGAACATGCCCCCAAACATCGTCCCCCGACTATTTTTCTGGATTATTTGTTCTGAAGATTCCCCCTGTGGGGGGACAGGCCCGACCCAAACGGAGCAAAAGAGCACGTGCTGGATGCTGCCGGCTCTCCGAAGGTGTGCTCTTGTTCCAACCCTTGGGGCAGTGCAAAGGGGGGTCACCACTAGGGGGGTCGCCACTTCCTCGAGGAAACGCCACTTCCTCGAGACTGCCTCGAGGAACTGGGCCCCCCAGAGCCCCGAAGCGGCAAAGAAACGTCCAGGAGCATCCTCGACCCCTCGACTCTCCATCCTGGAACCTCGATTCCCAGGAGAAGCTGGCGACCCCCCCAGTGGTGACCCCCCTTGGCACTGCCTGAGCCCTGTGGCGAGCTGCTCCTCGGTTTCAGGCGACCCGGGGGCCGCTCTCGGGCCCCCCGGGGGGGGCGTCGGAAGCGGACCCGGGACGCGGAGCTACCCTTCGGTCGGGCCTGTCCCCCTACCGGGGGGACTTTCTACGAGAAATGAAAAATACCACAAACAAAACCCCAACAAGGTAAAAAACACAAGAAAGATCAAAAACTAGTCCCCCAGACTACTTTTTGACTATGCTTGGGGTACGTTTTATTGTTCGTCGAGAATCCCCTTGTAGGGGGACAGGCCCGACTTAAAGCTACCCCCTGGGGAAGCGGTCGGGCTCGCTGAGTCGGTGGATGCCCCGCCTCCTCCTCTTGCAAGACGCTGTCCCTGAAATCCTGGCGTTGCAATCGTGTCACGACGTGCGGTGTTGCCTCGTTTCGGGCCGCGGGGCTCTCGGAGATCGCCCCCGCTCGAAAAGGTCAGCAGAAGAATGGAGCCCAGGGCTGCGGTCGGGTTCCTGTGACGAGGCTGCATGATGCTCTCTTGACGACTCGGTCCGTGATGTTCCCAGGGCCCGATACAGGGTAGAACCGTTTGTGGTGACGTCAAGATCTCAGGGTCCTGCGGACATCTGATCCTCGATCACCGCCTTGATCCTCCCTGGCAAATCGCTTCGGTCCTCATCGATCCTTCGATATCGATCCTTCACTCTCAATTCTTCGACCTCATATCCTCGCCTTCGATCTCGATCATTCGATCCTCGATTGTCATCGATCCTCCTCTGCAAATTAGCTCTTCCCCTCGCCCGCCGCCTGAGTGGTCTGCCCGGAGCACCAGCCCAAGGCGCGTGCCCACGACCAGTGTCCTGCCCTGCAGAGCGACGCACGTTACCTCGTCCGACGAGGGCATGACGTCCTTCATGGCCTCGGCGTGACAAAGAGCGTACAGTCTTAGTTTTCCGACGTATGATTGTATTCCATTCGGGCGTCTCTGCTAGATTGCGGCCGCTGAAACTCAATCATCTCACCCCTGGGCCATCAAACATTGATCTGGGACGCAAAACCATCCTGGAGAAGGCGTTGGAAGCTCTGGGGCCTCGGGATTGAAATAATCATATCGGCGAATGTCTGGGGAGGGAGGGGGGAAGACGAGCGTACAGTCATCGCGCTACCATGGGAAACGCCAGAGAAGGAACGAAGGGACTACCCCATGAGCCTGGGACAAAGGCTCCCAAGATGCCGCCCCCGAAGCCTTCAAGAGGCCCCTTGAGAGGCCCCGCGACAGACGCGCAGAGAGGAGAGGGGGGGGACAACGAACAAGGAACGAAGGGGCTTCTCTGGCCCGTCAGGCTCCCCGACCCGGATCTGAAGACGGCCCGGAATCCAGGGCCCCTCCTGAGCCCAAAACTGGTATTCGCTGCAGCGCCGTGCCCGCACACGCGTCAAACACCAAAATGGCACGAGCTGACCACTGGACTCCGGAAGCTCCGTTCGGAAGGGAGGCGGCAGCGGCATCCCAGGGCAGCACGAGAGGGCCCGAGGGGGCCCCCGAGACCGCCCCGCAGGACAGCCCAGAGACGGCCGGAGTGCGCCCAGCGAGGGCACCCGGAGAGAACACGGGGCGGGAGGTGCCCCCGCGTGGGGGCCTCCGCGCCGGTCATCGAACACCGTCGTGCAGAGTGCTTCGCTGGCACGGTGCCAGGTTTGCCGCGGCACCTGGATCTTCCCCCTCCTCCTCCCTCCTCCCTCCTCCCTCCTCCCTCTCCCTCCTCCCTCTTCCCTCCTCCCTCCTCCCTCCTCCCTCCTCCTCCTCCTCCTCCTCCTCCTCCTCCTCCTCTTCCTCCTCCTCCTTAACCCATCGTGGCACTTGGGTGCTCCTGCCTGTGCTGCCCGAAGGACTGGGCGGGCCCGCGGAGGCTTCGCATGGCGCCGAGTGGGTGGCCGGTCGTGGGTCCGCCAAGGTTGCGCCTCCTGGCCGCCCCCGCAACATCGACGCCCTCCTCAGGAATAGCGTTCTGGATCGCTCTGGGACGGATGCATCCTCGTCTCAGCCCGGTCCGACGCAGGGCGGGAGGCTGGAAAAAGCTCGGGACGATGAGGCTCGGGGACTGGGGCGTGGATGACGCGTCGCGCCGCAACGTGGTGGGCCAGAGCCAGCGTTCCTGAACGGTATTGGTGCCTGTTCGATTGTTTTTCCCAGGCCCTGGGCGTCGCTATTTTTCAACAACGTAGACCCCCAGAAGTCTCGACCCCTTCCCCGAGACCGGTTTTTCATCGTGAATCTCTTTTTGACGGCCCCGAGGCCCTGCGAGGGCCCCCGGAGGCCGAACACAGGGACAGACCTCCCGGCACAGAGCGAGGGGGTCTGGGTGCCCAGCTGGTGGCTGGTCGTGGGCGCCTGGTGGGCGCCCCGTGCGCTGGGTTGACAGGAGCTCGTGGCGGAGGCGCTCGAGAGGAGGAGGAGGAGGAGGAGGA